AGATGTTGCACGGGCAAGGACAGGACTCAGGATGGCATCGCCCTTCAGGAAGGAACTACCTTTGGGATTCCCTTGAAGTGTGGAACTCCTGGCTGTGTCACAGCTTGAGCCACTGAACTGTGCAGGCAGACCAAAGTCCCACTGTGACAGAAGCAACCTCGTGCTTCCCCTGAAGCCACTCCCCTCCCAGTCTTCCTGAAACTACCATTAACACCACAGACTCAAGCAAACAGAGATAAAAGGGAGTGTGAGAATGCCAGTGCTGTACAAACTCAACGACAATGATACATGATATAGCAAGTAACTGGAACACGACCTGAGCACCAGCTCATCACAGCACCAGATTCATGCTTAGTTGATTTGAAAGGACTGAGAACAGGGCATTAAAAAAGCATAAAAGAAGGAGCTAATCTTAGTATGCACTCAGCCTCACCAGAAGTAGCCCTGCAGAATGACAACCCATCTGGCTGCTCATGGCTTGGACAAGTGTACAGTTTGCTGGTTGAAGAACTTTCTAAATGGCCATGCTCAAAGAGTGAGGGAGTGAAGGGAGTTCAGTCCAGTTGTCAGTCTTGTCCAGATGTCCAGTTTAGTCATCAGTGACATTCCCCAGGGCTTGGGATTGATTCTAGTTTTATTTAATATTTAGATCTACGACCCAAATGAGAGGATCAGGTACACCCTCAGTAATTTGCAGATGACAAGAAGTTAGGTGGGACAGTTGTTCTGCTTGAGAGTAGGAAAGCTTTGCAGAGGGATGTGGAAAGGCTAGATTGGTGGACTGAGTCTAATCACATGACATTCAACAATGCTTCTGCACTTGGATCATAACAACCCCATGCAGTAGCATAGGCTTGGGGAAGAGTGGCTGGAAAGCTGTCCAGAAGAAAAGCACCTGGGGATGTTGGTCAACAGCCAGCTGAACGAGCAGCCACCGCCCATCATGGACAGGGACACTGACATCTTCCAATAGATCATCTGTGCTTATGAGGTCACTGTCAGCTGAAGATCTGATAGGCCACGAGCAGGCCCATGGCAGGTGAATGTTCCTGCGATGCCAGTGGTGCCTGGGTAGCTGACAGGCCGAGAGCAAACACAGCGTGTGCTAGATGCTGTGAGGACCCTGGTGCCTGAGAAGCCAGTAGGCCAGGAATAAGCATATGGCTTGTGTGGGTCTTTGGGAGCTTATGATGTCATGTCAGCGATGGCACCCCATGCTTGATTATTCCTGAAATCCAACAGAAACCCCAGGCACCAGCCTACTGCTGCATCTCACTACTTCATTGCGAACAGAAACCAAACAGGTGTCTATGTGGTGCTCAGGTCAGTGGTGCCTGTGGAGCTGACAGACCAGCAGCAGGCCCACAGTTCTCATAAGAGCTTGTGACGTCACCGGTGCCTGAGAAGATGACAGGCAGGAAGGAGACCCATGCCTGGGGAATATACTTGTGATGCCACTCTTGGCTGAGTAACCGACAGGGCAGGAGCAGGTGCAGGCCAGGAGAAGGCCCATGGCAGGTGAATATGCTACGGCATCACCTGGAGCTGTGTTGGGCAGAATCATGAAATAGCCTGAGTTGGAAAGAATCAAGGATCAGTGAGTCCAACTCCAGCCACCAGACAACAAAAATAGAATATATATGTATCTAAAAAACTACAAACGGTAAATATATTAAAAATTTTAAAATATATAATGTATATATTTATGAAAAATAAACTTTTATGTATGTATAAGACATGTAAAATTAATGTAATGAAAAAATAAAATAAAAAAAATAAAATAAATAAAATAAAAAAAATAAAATAAAATAAAATAAAATAAATAAAATAAAATAAAATAAAATAAAATAAACTATATAATTAATATAATATACTGCATAATATAACATAATACTGTATAATATACTGGAATACTTTATGTAATATAAATTATATCAAATAAAAAATATAATATAATCATAATATAATAAATCAGTAATATATATTATATAATATGAACTAAATAATACATATACTGTAATATATAATGTATAATATGTATATATACATAATATATGTAGTATAATAATATACTACATACATATTATATGCAGTATATGTATAATATAATATTCAATATATAAGAATAATATTAATCTAATGAAATATATAAAAATATAATATAATAATGTATAGTAATATATATATATTGTATATATTCATAAAAATGTGTGTTCTATTAAAAATATAAAATGTATATATATGTGTGTATTATATATATATATATATATATATAATAAACTATATGTCTGAGAGCATTGTCCAACACTTCTTGGACTCTGCCAGGCTTGGAGCTGTGAGGAGGCTGGGAGGCACCGCAGGGCCATGCCTGGGCACGGGGCCAGGAGGAAACCACCGTCTTCCTGCCCGGGCGCCATGTCACGTGGGCTGCGGTTTGTGCACCTGCAGTGGCAGGCAGGCTCCAGCTCCCGACCCGCCGCGGGGAATAACGGCCCCTGGGTGACACGCTGAGAGCCAGGGAGACGCCTGAGGCTCTGGGCTGCAGCTCTGCTGCCAGGGCAGGCCCTGGACCAGCTCTGGCTGCTGCCGGGACCCCACAGGAGGCTCCCTGGGGAGGGACGGGACAGCCAGCACCCCCATCATGGGGCTCTGGCCCTGCCCAAGGGCCTTTCCCAGCTGCTGCTGCCAGCACAGCAGGGGCTGTAGCAGGGGCAGGGGCTGGTCCCTTCCCAGCCTGACACAGCCCTGCTGCAGGACCAGTCCCGTGGATCCCATGGCGCAGGGCCGTCCGGACAATCGCACCTTGGGCTCTTGGATGCTACAGCTCAGGAGATGCTCCGTGCTCCCACAGCAGGCTGCAAGGGGTGTCAGAGCCATCTGCCCCCACACCCAGCCCTACCCCACGATGATGTCCCACCGCAGTGACGTGAGAGCCGCAGCGCAGCCGTCCCTCATATATGGTCATGAAGAGCGCTGGAGAAGTTCATTGGAGAGCTGGGCTGCGTCGGAGGGGAGATAAGTGCCGATAACGTCAAAAAAGGAGCCTGCTGCTTTGATTGGCTCCTCCTGCAGCTGGGACAGCATCTGCACAGATATATTGCCCTCCCATCATCTCCATTGACCTTTGGGTCCCCAGGAGCTCCAGCAGCAGGTCTGTGCTGTCAGGACAGGAGCCTCAGGATGGGGACAGAGGGACTCCTGTCCCCTTGGGTGCTGTGGCTGTTCCTCTGGGTGCAGCCATGCAGAGGTAAGTGCCAGCTTCTCTGTTCCACAGCCTTGGGACAGTGGGCAGCAGTGGAGTCATTGTGATGCTTCTGGGAGTGGGGTTGCTTTGCAGACACCACTGAAATGAGAGGCAGAAGACTCTCAGTCTCTCAGCCCTCTGCTTTTACCTGTGCCTGTCTTTGTGGGAGAGGGTAATCCTTTTCCACAGCTCCCATGATTATGGCAGCCCATGCCTGACATCATTTCTAGACTCCTTGCCCTTGGGGACCCTTTTGGTAGCCCTTGTTCCCCATCACTGTGCCTCTGGATCTGGAGGAGTCCCAGACAGAGAGAGTGACCCTCAGTGAGCTCCAGGGCACAGCCAATGTCTGGGATGCCCCAGGGGTGTTGTGTGCTGTTCCCTGCCCTTGGGATCTGGGGAAACACTGACTCCAGGAAGACAGGTTGTGTCCCATTAACAGAAGGGGACTGGGGCATCTGCACCCAGAAGTGGTACATAAGTGTCCTTCCTGGGGCCCTGTCCAAGCACAGGGACTGATCTGACAGCAGGGACAAGGAAGGGTTTTTGGGATCCTTGTGATCATTCAGTGCCTTGTGGGCACCCTAGAGGTCCTGGGTTGGACAGTGGTTTTAGGAGGTGCCTGTGGCAGACAATAGGCAATGGAAGCTGCTCAGGGGCATGGGGCTGTTTGGGGGACACTGGGCTGGGGAGGAGTGGGAGCCCCATGCAGGGCTGGGGGCTGTGTAGGGATGGGTATGGGCGGGGACAGGGGTCCACTGGGGTGGGAGGAGGTGGTGAGGGCCGTGGGGCAGCAAATGGCCCAGGAGGGCTAGAGCTGGGTACCCCCAGCCCAGCATAGCCCATGGGAAAAACAGGGACCCCCATTGCCCCTGGGAGAGCATATGGGGACAGAGATCCCACCCTGGGGACTGTGATTATGCCTGGGGAGGGGGTCTGTGAGTATGGGGCTCAAAGCTCTCCTGACCCTTCCTTTGTTGGTGTTTGAAGGGGCTGCGGAGGTGAGGCTAGCAGATGGTGACGGGCGCTGTGCTGGGAGAGTGGAGATGAAACTCCATGACGAGTGGGGGACCGTGTGCCATTTCTACTGGGACATGTCCGATGCTGCAGTGGTTTGTAGGCAGCTGGGCTGTGGGGTTGCTCTTGAAGCTCTTCACAAAGCACACTTTGGGCCAGGATCTGGGCCCATTTGGATGGTTGCTGTTGCGTGTAATGGCAAGGAGTCTGCCCTGTCTGACTGCAATCATGCAGGACGTGGTGAATCCTACTGTTCTCACAATCTGGATGCTGGAGTGATATGTTCAGGTATGGGTTAAACCTATTACCCACTTTTTGAGACTGGGACAAGGGAAAAGGGTAACAGCTCATGGGTCAGGGCTCTGAGCTCAGTCTGTCACATGTCCCTGGGAAAAGTACAGCCCAGGTGCCAACAACAAGCATGACCTTGAAGCTGGAGCAGCCAAGCCTGGGGAGGTGCCTGGTGCTGGGAGAGGAAAGCTCCCACCCTTCCCCATTGTGTTGCCTGGTTCCCATCTTTGTCATCCCATTCACCCAGGCCCTGTCTGGCAGGCTGGTCCCTATGCCAGGGGAATCTAGAGCAGCTCCCCCAGCCACCAGCAGCCTCAGGGAAGGGCGTGCAATGGCCCAGGACTTTTGGGTTGTACCCCCAGCAGCCAAGAGAACCTCGGCCAAAGCAGAGGGGCTGCTCAGAGGGCAGGAGCACTGAGGTTGTGCAGAGGAACATGGTGGCAAGGAGCACCCTGTTCATGTCCTGGGGTCACCCCATGAGTGCCAGCCCCTAGGGACACGGCCCTCCAGGCCGTGCTGACCCACTGCCCAGCCTCTCCTGCCTGCCCTGTGCCCCAGAGGGGGCTGTGCCAGCACCTCTGGCTCTCCTCGGTGCCTGCCCTCACACCGGGAGCTCGTGTCAGCCCAGGTCTGCTCTTTGCCTGATCTGGAACTCACAGGTCTCCTTGGTTGCTCCAGGATTTGTCCGGCTGGTCGGAGGGGACAGCCCTTGCTCAGGAAGTCTGGAGGTCTACGACAGGGACCAGTGGAAAGCTGTCTGTCACTCTCACTTTGGTGCCAAAGCTGCCGAGGTGGTGTGCAGGGAGCTGCAGTGTGGCACAGCCCTGTCTGTCCATGGGGCAGCTCAGCTGGGAGAAGGGGCCGGTCCTTTCTGGGACAGAGAGCTGCAGTGTGTGGGGAATGAATCCACCATCCTCTTCTGCCCCTGGAGAGCCCCTGGGAATGAGGCCTGCACCCACAGCAATGACCCTTATGTCATCTGCACACGTAAGGACTCGAGATGTAATAATGCTGATGGGGGTTGTGGTGGGGGCAGGAGAGCAGGGTGGGCACTGGGCTGTCTGGGTGGGGGACAGGTGGGGTGAGGTGGTGGTCTGCGGTCCTAAAATGAGAGTGCTGCAGGAGGAGAAAGGCACGCTGTCCCTTTGGCCTCTCCTGCAGCTCCTGTGGGAGCAAGAGCACAAATGTGGCCTCTCTCACCCTCCTTTGTCCCCAGAGTACACAGGGTTCAGGCTGGTGAATGGCAGCACAGTGTGAAGGCAGGGTGGAGGTGGAGGTGCTGGGACATGGGGAACCCTCTGTGCCTCCCGCTGGGACCTCTCGGATGCCCACGTTCTGTGTCGGCACCTCGGCTGTGGCTTTGCTGAGTCCATTCCTGGAGGAGGGCATTTTGGGAGAGGAACCGGCCCCGTCTGGAGAGACTCGTTCCACTGTGACGGGACTGAAGCCCACCTGGGGCAGTGCCCGGTGACTGCCCTGGGGGCCTCGCCGTGCTCCCAGGAGAACGCTGCTGCTGTCATTTGCTCAGGTGAGTGCTGGGCATTGCTGCAAAGTCCATTTGGCCCTGGAGTGTGACAAGGCCATCCACAGCTTTGGACCCCATGGCAGTGCCTTGCTGAATTTCTCCTCTCACCAGGCCCGGCTCACCACATGTCTGTACGGTTGGTGGGCGGAGGGAGCCGGTGCGATGGGCTCGTGGAGGTCTTCCAGCACGGGACGTGGGGCAGAGTCCTGGATGAGCAGTGGGACATGCAGGAGGCCAGCGTGGTGTGCTGGCAGCTCCAGTGCGGAGAGGCAGAGACAGCCTACACCCCCGTGAGGGCCGAGCGAGGCGGGCCCCGTGGGGCTGCGTGGGGTGCAGTGTGCAGGGCACGAGGCTGACCTGAGCCTCTGCAACACCTCCCTACCTGAGAGCACACCAGCAGCAGGGATCATGGAGGACGTGGGGGTCGTGTGCCGGGGTGAGTGGTGCTGCACGTCCCCCAAGTGTGGGTCTGGGAGTGCAGCCAGCCCCTGACAGCCGGGGTTCTCCCCGCTGCAGGGAGCCGGCGGGTGCGGCTGGTGGACGGGGCTGGGCGCTGTGCCGGGAGAGTGGAGATCTACTACCAGGGGCGCTGGGGCACCGTCTGCGACAACGCCTGGGACCTGGCTGACGCCGCCGTCGTTTGCCACCAGCTGGGCTGCGGAGGGGCCCTGGAGGCAGCCGGCTCTGCTCGGTTTGGGGAGGGCTCCGGGCAGATCTGGCTGGATGGCGTCAACTGCTCCGGGGCTGAAGCTGCTCTCTGGGACTGCCCTGCCGAGGCCTGGGGGCAGCACAGCTGCGGGCACAAGGAGGAGCGGGAGTCATCTGTTCAGGTCTGTGATGGGAGCAGGCTGGGAGTGGGACAGTGAGGCCAGGGTGAGGGTAGAGAGACGTAGAGCCAAGGCCCTCAGTGGCTGACATCCAAGGACGTCCCTGGGGCCTTTCCTCCTTCCAGAGTTCATGGCCCTGAGGCTGGAGAACAGCGACGGCTGCTCGGGCGCCTGCAGGTTTTCTACAACGGGACGTGGGGCAGCGTTTGCTCCAACTCCATGACCACCGAGACGGTGTCACTGGTGTGCAAGGAGCTGGGCTGCGGGAATGAAGGGGAACTGGAAACAGATTCTAACTCTGCCAAGCTGTCTGGCATCACGTGGCTGGATCACGTGGAGTGTGGGAAGAGCAACAGCTCCTTCTGGCAGTGTCCCTCTCATCCCTGGCATCTGCAGTCATGTGATGACCTCCGAGAAGAGACCCACATCACCTGCAATGGTAAATCTGAGCCATCAAGGCACCAGGTCCACTTCCCACTGGGTATGGTGAAATGCAGAGAAGGAACCCAGAGGGGCTTTGACTTCCTGCATTAGACCCTGTTGCTGCTGGTGGTACAAAGGTGACTTAAGCTCCAGAGCCACCCACATCCACCAGCAGCAGTCAACGGCCAGGATGCCATCAGCTCCTGGGTTTGGTGCTTTGAGAGGTGCCTGGTGCAGGTGATGGATAGGAAGAAGTATGGGGTTTAGAGTCACGTTGCTTTGGAGAAGGATCTGGTCAGGGGAGGAGTGAGAACCCTGTGCAGGACTGGGGGTGGTATGTGGGTGGGCATGGGCAGGGGCAGGGGGCCAATGGGGTTGGAAGAGGGGGTTATGAGGGCTGGGCAGCAAATGGCCCAGGAGGGCTGGAGTTGGGCATCCCCAGAGCAGTGCAGCCCATGGGCAGAGGAAGGATCCCTCCAACACACCAGTGACAATCAGTGGGGACAGGGCTCCCACCCTGGGGCCTGTGACTCTGCCTGGGCAGCAGAGAAAGAACTCGCAGACCCACACTGTGGGGCTCAAAGCTCTCCTGACCCTTCCTGTGTTGGTGTTTGAAGGGACTGCAGAGGTGAGGCTGGCGGATGGCGGCAGGCGCTGTGCTGGAAGAGTGGAGGTGAAACACCGGGGTCAGTGGGGGACCGTGTGCAGTGACCAATGGGACATGACCGATGCTGCAGTGGTTTGTAGGCAGCTGGGCTGTGGGGTTGCTCTCGAAGCTCCTCAGAAGGCACACTTTGGACCAGGATCTGGTTCCATTTGGATGGATGATGTTCACTGTAATGGCAATGAGTCTGCCCTGTCTGACTGCACACACAATGGCTGGGGTCAAACAGACTGCGATCACAGCTTGGATGCTGGAGTGACATGCTCAGGTAAGGACTGAACTTGTTCCCTACCTCTGGGATGAGGACACTCTAAGGGACCTGGCTGTGACCTCAGGAAGCAACGAGTGGACACCAGAACATGGCTCTGTGTGTCAAGTTGCACTCTGAGCTGGGTCTGTCACTGCTGGTGTCCCTTGTCCCTGGAGAAAGCCCAGTGGGAGCACACTGAGCCTGGCCCTGAAGCTGGAGCAGCCAACTGGGGAGGTGCCTGGTTCTGGGAGAAGAAAGCCCCCACCTTTCCCCATTGTGTTGCCTGGTTCCCATCTTTGTCATCCCATTCACCCAGGCCCTGTCTGGCAGGCTGGTCCCTATGCCAGGGGAATCTAGAGCAGCTCCCCCAGCCACCAGCAGCCTCAGGGAAGGGCGTGCAATGGCCCAGGACTTTGGGTTGTACCCCCAGCAGCCAAGAGAACCTTGGCCAAAGCAGAGGGGCTGCTCAGAGGGCAGGAGCACTGAGGTTGTGCAGAGGAACATGGTGGCAAGGAGCACCCTGTTCATGTCCTGGGGTCACCCCATGAGTGCCAGCCCCCATGAACACGGCCCCTCCAGGCCGTGCTGACCCACTGCCCAGCCTCTCCTGCCTACCCTGCGCCCCAGAGGCTGTGCCAGCACCTCCTGGCTCTCCTCGGTGCCTGCCCTCATACCGGGAGCTCGTGTCAGCCCAGGGTTGCTCTCTGCCTGCTCTTTTGCTCTATGTGTGGCTGGTGGATGGGGTCATCCATGCCCAGCACCACACTTTGTCCCTGTCTGTGGACCCCCGTTTACCTGCTCCCCAGATGTGCCCCATTCTAACAGCAGCTCCGCAAGAGCTCCAGCAGCCCCTGGGAACAGGGGACTTTTTGGAAGCTCCAAGGGGTTCCTCAGCCTGGCCTGAGCCCGGCAGGGCAGAGACAACTGCAGCAGCCCCCAGTGCCTGGGCCCTTTCCATGGGTCCACATGCTGTGAGTGCTGCAGTGCTGGGGCCGGTGCTGGGCAGCCCAGGGGCTCCAACCAGCAGCAATTAGTCTGAGCGGTGCCTGCAGCCGGGGGCTGGGAGAGAGGGCAGCCCATGGGTACTGGGCTGGATTCTGAGGAGCAGCAGGGGGGCCCGTACGTCTTTGTGCAATCAGCACCCACTGAGAACTTCTGGGCTGACCGTGGAGCTCTGAATCTTGCCACTTTACGGATGAGGTGGGAGGTGGGCACGGAAGTGCCAGAGGGCTCTGGGAACTCACAGGTCTCCTTGGTTGCTCCAGGATTTGTGCGGCTGGTCGGAGGGGAAGCCCTTGCTCAGGAAGTCTGGAGGTCTACGACAGGGACCAGTGGAAAGCTGTCTGTCACTCTCACTTTGATGCCAAAGCTGCCGAGGTGGTGTGCAGGGAGCTGCAGTGTGGCACAGCCCTGTCTGTCCATGGGGCAGCTCAGCTGGGAGAAGGGGCCGGTCCTTTCTGGGACAGAGAGCTGCAGTGTGTGGGGAATGAATCCACCATCCTCTTCTGCCCCTGGGGGACCTCCAAGGACAAGGCCTGCACCCACAGCAATGGCACTCATGTCACCTGCACACGTAAGGACTCGCAGTAGGATGATGGACAATGGGGTTGTGGTGGGGGCAGGAGAGCAGGGTGGCACTGGGCTGTGCTGTGGGGGACAGGTGGGGTGAGGTGGTGGTCTGCGGCCCTAAAATGAGAGTGCTGCAGGAGGAGAAAGGCATGCTGTCCCTTTGGCCTCTCCTGCAGCTCCTGTGGGAGCAAGAGCACAAATGTGGCCTCTCTCACCCTCCTTTGTCCCCAGAGTACACAGGGTTCAGGCTGGTGAATGGCAGCACAGCGTGTGAGGGCAGGGTGGAGGTGGAGGTGCTGGGACGTGGGGGACCCTCTGTGCCTCCCGCTGGGACCTCTCGGATGCCCACGTTCTGTGTCGGCACCTCGGCTGTGGCTTTGCTGAGTCCATTCCTGGAGGAGGGCATTTTGGGAGAGGAACCGGCCCCGTCTGGAGAGACTCGTTCCACTGTGACGGGACTGAAGCCCACCTGGGGCAGTGCCCGGTGACTGCCCTGGGGGCCTCGCCGTGCTCCCAGGAGAACGCTGCTGCTGTCATTTGCTCAGGTGAGTGCTGGGCATTGCTGCAAGTCCACTTGCTACTGGTGTGTGACATGGCCACACAAATTTGGGGAGCTCATGGCACAGCCTGGCTGAATTTTTCCTCTCACCAGGCCTAACTCACCCCATGCCCCTGCGGTTGGTGGGCGGAGGGAGCCGGTGCGACGGGCGCGTGGAGGTCTTCCAGCACGGGACGTGGGGCAGAGTCCTGGATGAGCAGTGGGACATGCAGGAGGCCAGCGTGGTGTGCGGCAGCTGCAGTGCGGAGAGGCAGAGGCAGCCTACACCCCCGTGAGGGCCGAGCGAGGACGAGGACCTGTGGGGCTGCGTGGGGTGCAGTGTGCAGGGCACGAGGCTGACCTGAGCCTCTGCAACACCTCCCTGCCTCAGAGCATGTCGGCAGCAGAGATCATGGAGGACGTGGGGGTCGTGTGCCGGGGTGAGTGGTGCTGCACGTCCCCCAAGTGTGGGTCTGGGAGTGCAGCCAGCCCCTGACAGCCGGGGTTCTCCCCGCTGCAGGGAGCCGGCGGGTGCGGCTGGTGGACGGGGCTGGGCGCTGTGCCGGGAGAGTGGAGATCTACTACCAGGGGCGCTGGGGCACCGTCTGCGACGACGCCTGGGACCTGGCTGACGCCGCCGTCGTTTGCCACCAGCTGGGCTGCGGAGGGGCCCTGGAGGCAGCCGGCTCTGCTCGGTTTGGGGAGGGCTCCGGGCAGATCTGGCTGGATGGCGTCAACTGCTCCGGGGCTGAAGCTGCTCTCTGGGACTGCCCTGCCGAGGCCTGGGGGCAGCACGACTGCGGGCACAAGGAGGACGTGGGAGTCGTCTGCTCAGGTCTGTGCCGGGAGCGGGTCTGGGAGTCAGGGACAGTGAGGCTGTGGTGAGGGTAGATCCAGTTAGAGCCAAGGCCATCAGTGACTGACATCCAAGGACTTCCCTGGGGCCTTTCCTCCTTCCAGAGTTCATGGCCCTGAGGCTGGAGAACAGCGACGGCTGCTCCGGGCGCCTGCAGGTTTTCTACAACGGGACGTGGGGCAGCGTTTGCTCCAACTCCATGACCACCGAGACGGTGTCACTGGTGTGCAAGGAGCTGGGCTGCGGGAATGAAGAGGACTGGGAAATATCTTAAACTCTGCCAAGCTGTCTGGCATCACGTGGCTGGATCACGTGGAGTGTGGGAAGAGCAACAGCTCCTTCTGGCAGTGTCCCTCTGATCCCTGGCATCCGCAGTCATGTATGACCGCCGAGAAGAGACCCACATCACCTGCAATGGTAAATCTGAGCCATCAAGGCACCAGGTCCTGTTCCCCACTGGGCATGGTGAAATGCAGAGAAGGAACCCAGAGGGGCTTTGACTTCCTGCATTAGACCCTGTTGCTGCTGGTGGCACAAAGGTGACTTCAGCTCACAGAGCCACCGTGTTCACCAGCAGCAGTCAATGTCCAGGCTGCAATCAGCTCCTGGGAATTTGGTGCATTTGAGAGGTGCCTGGTGCAGGTGATGGACAGGAAGAATATGGGTTAGAGTCACGGTGCTTTGGAGAGGGATCTGGTCAGGGGAGGAGTGGGAAACCTGTGCAGGACTGGGGGTGGTGTGTGGGTGGGCATGCGTAGGGTCAGGGGGCCACTGGGGTGGAAGAGGGGTTATGAGGGCTGTGGGCAGTAAATGGCCCAGAAGGGCTGGAGTTGGGCCCCCAGAGCAGTGCAGCCCATGGACAGAGGAAGGATCCCTCCAACACTCCAGTGACAATCAGTGGGGACAGGGCTCCCACCCTGGGCCTGTGACTCTGCCTGGGCAGCAGAAGGAGCACTCACAGACCCACCTTGTGGGGCTCAAAGCTCTCCTGACCCTTCCTGTGTTGGTGTTTGAAGGGACTGCAGAGGTGAGGCTGGTGGATGGCGGCAGCGCTGTGCTGGGAGAGCGGAAGTGAAACACCGGGGTCAGTGGGGGACCGTGTGCAGTGACCACTGGGACATGACCGATGCTGCAGTGGTTTGTAGGCAGCTGGGCTGTGGGGTTGCTCTCGAAGCTCCTCGGAGTGCACATTTGGGCCAGGATCTGGTTCCATTTGGATGGATGATGTTGAATGTAATGGCAAGGAATCGTCTGCCCTCTGACTGCACACACAATGGCTGGGATCAAACAGACTGCGATCACACTGAGGACGCTGGAGTGATGTTCAGGTAAGGACTGAACTTGTTCCCTACCTCTGGGATGAGGACACTCCTAAGGGACCTGGCTGTGACCTCAGGAAGCAACGAGTGACACCAGAACATGGCTCTGTGTGTCAAGTTGCACTCTGAGCTGGGTCTGTCACTGCTGGTGTCCCTTGTCCCTGGAGAAAGCCCAGTGGGAGCACAATGAGCCTGGCCCTGAAGCTGGAGCAGCCAACTGGGGAGGTGCCTGGCGCTGGGAGAGGAAAGCCCCCACCATTCCCCATTGTGCTGCCTGGTTCCCATCTTTCTCCTCCATTCACCCAGGCCCTGTCTGGCAGGCTGGTCCCTATGCCAGGGGAATCTAGAGCAGCTCCCCCAGCCACCAGCAGCCTCAGGGAAGGGCGTGCAACGGCCCAGGACATTTGGGTTGTACCCCCAGCAGCCAAGAGAACCTCGGCCAAAGCAGAGGGGCTGCTCAGAAGGCAGGAGCACTGGGCTTGAGCAGAGGAACATGGTGGCAAGGAGCACCCTGTTCCTGTCCTGGGGTCACCCCATGAGTGCCAGCCCTAGGGACACGGCCCCTCTAGACATGCTGACCCACTGCCCAGCCTCTCCTGCCTACCCTGTGCCCCAGGGGCTGTGCCAGCACTCCTGGCTCTCCTCGGTGGCCTGCCCTCATACCGGGAGCGTCGTGTCAGCCCAGGGTTGCTCTCTGCCTGCTCTTTTGCTCTATGTGTGGCTGGTGGGTGGGGTCATCCAATGCCCAGCACCACACTTTGTCCCTGTCTGAGGACCCCCCCCCCTTTACCTTCTCCCCAGATGTGCCCCATCTAACAGCACCTCCCCAAGAGCTCCAGCAGCCCCTGGGGACAGGGGACTTTCTTGGAAGCTCCAAGGGGTTCCTCAGCCTGGCCTGAGCCCGGCGGGGCAAGAGCCAACTGCAGCAGCCCCCAGTGCCTGGGCCCCTTTCCATGGGTCCACATGCTGTGAGTGCTGCAGTGCTGGGGCCGGTGCTGGGCAGCCCAGGGGCTCCAACCAGCAGCAATTAGTCTGAGTGGTGCCTGTGGCTGGGGGATGGGAGAGAGGGCAGCCCATGGGTACTGGGCTGGATTCAGAGGAGCAGCAGGGGGGCCCTGACCTCTTTGTGCCATCAGCACCCGCTGAGAGCTGCTGGGCTGACCGTGGAGCTCTGAGTCTGGCCACATTACCGATGAGGTGGGAGGTGGGCACGGAAGTGCCAGAGGGCTCTGGGAACTCACAGGTCTCCTTGGTTGCTCCAGGATTTGTGCGGCTGGTCGGAGGGGACAGCCCTGCTCAGGAAGTCTGGAGGTCTACGACAGGGACCAGTGGAAAGCTGTCTGTCACTCCCACTTTGGTGCCAAAGCTGCCGAGGTGGTGTGCAGGGAGCTGCAGTGTGGCACAGCCCTGTCTGTCCATGGGGCAGCTCAGCTGGGAGAAGGGGCCGGTCCTGTCTGGGACAGAGAGCTGCAGTGTGTGGGGAATGAATCCACCATCCTCTTCTGCCCCTGGGGGACCTCCAAGGACAAGGCCTGCACCCACAGCAATGGCACTCATGTGATTTGCACACGTAAGGAATTGGGTAGGGATGGTATCCTCTGGGGTTGTGGTTGGGGGCAGGGTGGGCCCTGGGCTGTGCTGGGTGGGGGACAGGTGGGGTGAGGTGGTGGTCTGCAGCCCTAAAATTAGAGTGCTGCTGGAGGAGAAAGGCACGCTGTCCCTTTGGCCTCTCCTGCAGCTCCTGTGGGAGCAAGAGCACAAATGTGGCCTCTCTCACCCTCCTTTGTCCCCAGAGTACACAGCGTTCAGGCTGGTGAACGGCAGCACAGCGTGTGAGGGCAGGGTGGAGGTGGAGGTGCTGGGGACATGGGGGACCCTCTGTGCCTCCCGCTGGGACCTCTCGGACGCCCACGTTCTCTGTCGGCACCTCGGCTGTGGCTTTGCTGAGTCCATTCCTGGAGGAGGGCATTTTGGGAGAGGAACCGGCCCCGTCTGGAGAGACTCGTTCCACTGTGACGGGACTGAAGCCCACCTGGGGCAGTGCCCGGTGACTGCCCTGGGGGCCTCGCCGTGCTCCCAGGAGAACGCTGCTGCTGTCATTTGCTCAGGTGAGTGCTGGGCAGTGCTGCAAAGTCCATTTGGCCCTGGAGTGTGACACGGCCACCCACAGCTTTGGACCCCATGGCAGTGCCTGGCTGAATTTCTGCTCTCACCAGGCCTAACTCACCCCATGCCCCTGCGGTTGGTGGGCAGAGGGAGCCGGTGTGACGGGCGTGTGGAGGTCTTCCAGCACGGGACGTGGGGCAGAGTCCTGGATGAGCAGTGGGACATGCAGGAGGCCAGCGTGGTGTGCCGGCAGCTGCAGTGCGGAGAGGCAGAGGCAGCCTACACCCCCGTGAGGGCCGAGCGAGGTCTGGGCCCCGTGGGTCTGCGTGGGGTGCAGTGTGCAGGGCACGAGGCTGACCTGAGCCTCTGCAACACCTCCCTACCTGAGAGCACACCAGCAGCAGGGATCATGGAGGACGTGGGGGTCGTGTGCCAGGGTGAGTGGTGCTGCACGTCCCTCAGGTGTGGGTCTGGGAGTGCAGCCAGCCCCTGACAGCCGGGGTTCTCCCCGCTGCAGGGAGCCGGCGGGTGCGGCTGGTGGACGGGGCTGGGCGCTGTGCCGGGAGAGTGGAGATCTACTACCAGGGGCGCTGGGGCACCGTCTGCGACGACACCTGGGACCTGGCCGACGCCGCCGTCGTTTGCCACCAGCTGGGCTGCGGAGGGGCCCTGGAGGCAGCCGGCTCTGCTCGGTTTGGGGAGGGCTCCGGGCAGATCTGGCTGGATGGCATCAACTGCTCCGGGGCCGAAGCTGCTCTCTGGGACTGCCCTGCCGAGGCCTGGGGGCAGCACGACTGCGGGCACAAGGAGGACGTGGGAGTCATCTGCTCAGGTCTGTGCTGGGAGTGGGGCTGGGAGCTGGGTCCGGTGAGGCCGGGGCGTGGGCAGAGCCAGGTAGGGCCAAGGCCATAAGTGGCTGACATCCAAGGACATCCCTGGGGCCTTTCCTCCTTCCAGAGTTCATGGCCCTGAGGCTGGAGAACAGCGACGGCTGCTCCGGGCGCCTGCAGGTTTTCTACAACGGGACGTGGGGCAGCGTTTGCTCCAACTCAATGACCACCGAGACGGTGTCACTGGTGTGCAAGGAGCTGGGCTGTGGGAATGAGGGGGAACTGGAAACAATCTCAAATTATGAGAAGCTGTCTGGCACCGCGTGGCTGGATCGCGTGGAGTGTGGGAAGAACAACAGCTCCTTCTGGCAGTGTCCCTCTGATCCCTGGGATCCGCAGTCGTGTACTGACCGCCGAGAAGAGACCCACATCACCTGCAATGGTAAATCTGAGCCATCAAGGCACCAGGTCCACTTCCTCACTGGGTATGGTGAAATGCAGAGAAGGAACCAAGAGTGGCTTTGACTTTCCTGCTTTAGACCCTGTTGCTACTGGTACACAAAGGTGATTTCAGCTCTTGGAGCCACCCATGTCCACCAGCAGCAGTCAACATGTGGGCTGCCCTCAGCCCCTGGGGGATGCAGAGGCATCTCCAGGCAAGGTCTCAGAGGAGACCATGCAGGGCTTTCAGGAGTCCTCCCTCCAGGGACAGCCTCCTGCTGCTCTGTGAATCAGGGACCCTGTAGGGCCAAGCACTTGGGTCCCCCCTGCAGTACCGTGTGTGTCCCCTGAGTGAACAGGGTTCTGCTGCTGCCCTGACCCAGGGAGCATGGGGACGTGTGAGCAGAGGTCAGCCCTGCTTTCTTCTGCATGACCCCTAGAGAAGCCCTTTTCAGCCCAACTTCTCTTTCCTTTGGGACATGGACAGAAAGGCCACAGGTGGCTGCATGCCCCAACTCCACCAGCTGCACAGGTAGGGAGCTGCCCCTGCACGTGCCCCCCCTTACCTGGCAGGGCTCCCGCAGCTGTCCTGGTGCCATGGGACATTTCTGCCTCCCCAGAAAGGGAGAAGATCCGTGCCGTGGGAGGCAAGGACGGCTGCTCGGGCAGAGTGGAGATCTGGCACCGCGGCACCTGGGGGACGCTGTGTGACAATGCCTGGGACATGCGGGACGCCGAGGTGGCGTGCAGGCAGCTGGGCTGTGGCTCTGCGGTCTACGCCCTGGGCCAGGCTGCTGCTGGAGAGGGGACGGGCCCCATGTGGCTGATGGAGTGCAGGGGGACGGAGCTGTCTCTGCAGGACTGCTGGGCCCAGCCAGGAGACAGAGGTGCCTGCCAGCATAAGGCAGATGCGGCTGTGCATTGCTCAGGTGAGCAGTGAGGCTGGGAGACATGGCTGGGGTCTTGGCAAGGAGCTGGCTTGGGCATCTGCTCTGCTGTATCCTGGCATGGCCCCAGTGCAGGCCCAAGCAAGGGTGTTCCTGCAGAGTGGGAGGCTGGTTGTGGGTGGGGAGCAGCCTCTGTGGGGCTGGATGTGCCAGCACATCCCCTGGGCTGCCTGCACTGTCCTTTGAGCAGCACAGAGCAGTGGTGCTGGGCCTTGTCCCTGCCACCTTGCTCAGCCCCACAGAAGGGACAATTCAGGTGGCAAATTTTGGGGTCATTTGCCAGGGAGGCTGCCTGGTGCCACAGCCCCAGCCTCTCAGCCCAGCTCTCCTTCTGCTCCCCTGCAGCTGCACCCAGGACAGCAACTCCCCCCCCACAAGCAGGTAAGCTGTCCTTCTCCTGGGGCTGGGTCTGTCCATATTCACGCTGTGACA